TCCCAATAGGCTGAATCTTTTAAAATTATTTGTATCACAAATATTGATAAACATATGAAATTAAAGCTGAATGTATGGCATACTGAATGTATGGCTACTTTCACTGTAAATAAAGAAAAAAAAACATTTCATGAAGTTTTTAACAACCGGAATAAATCAATTATAGTACAAAAAGAATTGGTAATTATAAATAAAATCATGTTTAAAGTCACCTATAACAAAAACTATTATTGGAGAATGGTTCTGAATTGTGAGAGAATGTTTCAACAGAATAGTTCCTGAAAATAATGCAGTGAATGGCATTACAATACAAACATTTATACCATCAGGTTGAAAGAAAATTTAGCATCGTTCACGATTCACAAAAGAACAATGTTTGTATTACGTGGGGTTGTGTCTATGTCGCACCCAAAATCACTTGTTTTGTCTATAAACAAAACACCACACGTTATTCGTTTTTTGAAATAGATACCTGGCTTTTACATTTCAAGTAAATGAAAAAACGCATAGTTACTCAAATTACAAAAGGGAATACGTGGCCCCTTCGCTTCTGAACGTCATGGATCTACCCATTTGAAAAAAAAATGTTTGGCATCGAATTAGAATTGAAATGCAGTACAATCAAAGATTGTCACCAAATCATCGGATTCACATTGGGGTATATTTTGTTTACTGCTTCGCTTCTGTTGAGCATCGGATTCACCAAAACGACAAGAATTCTTAATAATTTAACAAGCTAGGAATTCGAAATTGCATTAGCAATAGTTTGCTACATTGTTAATGTGAATTATATGAACATTTCTCCGATTTTAGACAGACGGTCTGGCATTCTTTCTATCCTATTGACCGTTATATGTGAGTAGGTGTTGTACAATCAAATCATCCCATTCATACTATCCATTTTTTTCAACTATTTCTTTATTGTTATAGTTCTTAAAATTCAGTATAGTAGCGAGCATTTTGCTTCTAAATTAACCTACATTTCCAAGAGTTACCCACAACAACAACATAGTGTTCGCTGACTTCACTGGTGTACTGTGATAAATTTGTTAACGCGTATCTGTTAATCGACTTATTTAGCTGATTACTAGCGAATGACTGTGTTATGTCTGTCATCGTTTAGGCTTATGCGAGGTCCTGGATTGGCAGTTACTTATATTGTGAACGATTAATCAAAAGATATGACGTGTGAAATGAGAGTGTGATGCGCTTATATGCGTATTGTTTGACAACGCAAGCTTTTGTTCATGATTGACAGGATTATATGTAACTTAGTAGTGTCTATCGTTTTAGCCTTTTCCCGTCTTTTTGCCAGAGGAGTAATGCATTACGAAAGCGACTTTGTCTTTGCATTCCGTTCCACTTCGTATGACTTTTGTTTAGATTAACGACTTGTGAGTTTAGTTTGAAGTTTATAAGCGTATGTGACAGGACTTTGATTAATAGATTGTTATTCATTGTTTATTAGTTACCGCTTGCAATGCTTTAACCGAGAGACGCATACCTGGTAATCACGTGATCATGATGTCGACTGCAGCGATTGGCTGGTCGCTTGGTTACAGCGCCACGCCTTAGTTTTTTTGACCTTTTGATATAGAGTTTGTAACATTAGTAACGAAAGACAGTGCAGCGAAAGGTTACCTCAGCGAACTGTTTTGAGAAAAGCAAGTCGATTGGTTGCCTTTCCCTTGGTTTTTGAATTATAACCATTGTATTTAGAATTATAATCATTGTATTTAATCAGTGTGTTTTACTCTTTTGATTTATACTTTTTATTAGTATTGTATTTAACCTGTATGACGATGAGTAGATGACGGTATCTTTGATTTATGAACGTGCAGGAGGCAAAGCTCAGTTTGGGTGAAGGGATGTGTGATAAATTTGTTTTTGCGTATCTGTTAATCGACTTATTTAGCTGATTACTAGCGAATGACTGTGTTATGTCTGTCATCGTTTAGGCTCATGCGAGGTCCTGGATGGAACTCGACTCAGTGATTTGGAACTAATTACGATATAACCATCGCTATCCAGACTACTATTTCTGACAGTTGGTATTCACAGTTACTAATATAGTGAACGATTAATCAAAAGATATGACGTGTTTAGTACTTAGTGTGATTGGCTTTATGATTGAAGGTTACGCCTTATAGTCTTTATACTGTTTTGTAATTGGTTAAGGTTTTGAAAATGAATAAAGTTGTTTTTAGTTGGTCTTGGCGAGAACACCACGACAGATGCAGTTTTGGGGCAGTCTTGGGAGGGTCTTTGGTCAGCCTTGCGATAGTCTTGGGGACTTTTCCCCAGGGCGTTGTGTCTTATAGAGTGCTCGACTGGCCGACTAAAGACGAGAGTTGAAACGTAATTCGTTGTGTGTGTCTATTTGACTGTAAAGCTTTCGCACAAAAAGTGAATCCGATGCTAAACAGTTACATGTTGATATTTTATTTATATGTTTTACAATAACAACGTGAGACTGCAATATTATTGTTTGCCTTAATTTGTACATGTTCTATAAACATTGGTTTGTTGACTGTACAAAAAAATAGCATCACT